GCGTCGAAAATAGCGGCCTTGTCCTTGCGAGGCCGCGCAAGGCCGCGCGCCTCGGACGCGCAACGCCGCGCCGTGGGAAGATCGCTCCGCGGCGATCTCTTCGCGCGCCGATGGACCCTCCGGCTCGCCTTGACTGATCCTTTCCACAGATTAGTCCGCATCTCTCTCTCTCTCTCTCTCTCTCTCCCCCCTCTCTCTCCCCCCTCTCCTATCTCTCTCTTTTTCTCTTTATCGCTCTCTCTCTCTCTCTCTCTCTCTCTCTCTCTCTCTCTCTCTCTCTCTCTCTCTCTCTCTCTCTCTCTCTCTCTCTCTCTCTCTTCGTCCGTCTCACGCGCCGCTAACTAAACGCGCCTGCGGTAAATATAGAATTAAATGGACCGGCGCGCGTCGCCACCGACGGTATTAATAAACCCGGCGTTTCGCATACGCCGCGCGCATCGCGCGTTCTTATCCTCGCGCCGTATCGCGCTGTAACATCGTGGCCAGACGAGGTCCAGAAGAGGCACGTCACCGTAACTTCGATGTCGTTTTGCCGGGAGCTTCACCTCGCCTGCCGGGGATTCGCCGCGTGAGACTCTTGACTCCGTGTAAATCGGGATATAATTACCGGTCGGAGAATTCGGTGTAAAAACGAAAAGCTGGGGGGACGCGACGAAAACGGCCGCGATTAATGGGTTCGCGGGAAATCGGAGGAGGTACAGGAGGATAGCCTGAAGTGAAAAAATAGAAAGTCCCCGCGCTGGAAAATGCGCGATGACCGCGCGGAAGAGTAACCGTTTCTTGACGACTTAGCGACTCGAGAATTAGCGGAACAGTGAATTGAAACGGGCGCGGACGTGAGTCGGCGAACATTTGTGCCAGAAGAACTCGATTAATCCGGATTAAAACCTGACTTATCCCATAATCATGTGCGCGTTTCGCTAATCATCAACATTGTCAACGTTGTGGAAAAAATGCAACTCGTTCGTGTAGTCGAGCGCGCATTATTAGCTTCACGAGGACGAATTACGAGACGATTCTCTAAAATCGAGCGAGATCAAAGTCAAGAGCTTCTGCGAGCGCAATACCGGAGCAACTGAATTCGATTTAAATATCGGACTCCGTCGTACATTTGCCGAGAAGAGGAAAGACTCGGTCGGGGCAGGCCGTGAAGAAACGTAACACAGGTTGCGGTGATCGCGAGGTGTTATGGCAACGAGATACGTTCGCCACTTTGTGGCGCGACTTTTTCAGGATCTCTCGCCATTTCTTCGATCTTGTTAGCCGCCTCGAGTGGCATTCCCCCGTAATGCTTGGCTGATCGCGCGATATTCCGCGGATTTTTACGAGATCTCCGGCCGATCGCGCGCGCACATATCATCTGTCCCGCGATTAGCGAAATATTTGTGCGTTAATTCGCGTTACACGACCGAGAGAGAAGGAGGGAGGGGAAGAGAGGGAGAGAGAGGGAGAGAGAGGGAGAGAGAGAGAGAGAGAGAGAGAGAGAGAGAGAGAGAGAGAGAGAGAGAGAGAGATTACCGTAATCCACTCGCCGGTAGATCCGATGCTATCGCGAACGGTAATACGGATTCTCTGCGCCGTATTTCGCGCGAATATCGCACGCGGCACCGTTACATCCCAGAACACAACGATGTAAATTACAGCGATAGAGTCTTCGCCCAGCGAAACTCCCAGAATTCACGCGGAAATTCGCGTACGGGCGTGCGCACCGTTGCATTTGCGGACCGTAACCGATTCTTAGCCGAAATCCGATAACGTTTCGTAAACCGCGGTGAAAACGACGGGGTTGTCACGACTACGACGACGACGGCGATGATGATGACCATAATGTAGCGATGGTTAGGTCACACGAAAACATTGAGTGTGCGCTGCATGGGACATTGCGTATTCGCGTTGCGTAACGCTTTCGCGTCTTGCGATCGAACGGTAGTGGATCGGCGGTTTCCTCCGTCTGTCAACCGGCAAACGATCATGCGCGTAATTGCAACGCTGATATTTCCTAACTGCTACTTCACGACGTAACGCTGAAACCGCGTAGCGTGCGTCGCGCGCGTGCAGGATCGCGTGCAGGCTTGCCGAAGAGTCGGCGGGCGAGAGAGCGAGAACGATTCCCTTTAAGAAATCATCCAGCGAATGAAAGAAAGAAAGAAAGAAGAGCGAAGGGGAAGAAGTTACACACGAGTCTCGGAAGTTATCGACGGAAATCAATTCTGCGAAAACGAGGATTCCAGACGGAGGACTGACCGAAACGAGCAACGTTCGAGTCTTCCTTCACTCTACTTGCCACTCGTTACGATTTGTCTAATAAACGCTTAGAGACCATCCACCAGTCGGTCGAGACATTTACGGCGCCTAATGTGTACGTGGCGTGTGCGATTTCCATAAGAAGAATCGCGCACGGCCCGCGTGAGAGAGAAACCCATAATGATGTAACGGACGCCCAGTCCCCGACACCGGTAATGCACGCCCGATAAAAATTAAATTCAAGGTCGTTCCACTTTCCGCCCACTCGGAAACCGCGGCAGTTCGCTCGTAATTTTTACGATGTTATCCGCGCGATGGCGAGCGAGCGAACGGGCGGGCGTTGAAGCGCGAGACGACGTATAAATTCGAAGCCTTCGCACGAGAGCGAGAAGGGAAGGCTATCACACGCGATATCGTCGTCGTTGAATCCCATGCACGAGTGTTACCAAATATAGGGACTACGTTGCGCTCGTTTTATTTAAGCACAACCGTATAAGGGATTCGCGTGTAACATTTCATTCGCGCGGATTGCGCGGATTGCACCCCGTTGCACGAAGGTGCGCGCAATTCTTTCCGCGGCAGAAAAATCCCCCATCGGCGCGACTCGCATTTCCAGCTGCGGAGAATTCGCTCAGGCATGCATCTTCTCGAACCTAAATCCGTTCGCTTTTCACGAAACATCTCGTATCAAAGGTCGAACGAGACCTTTTGTCCTCGACAAAAGATCCGAATTCCGAGGCGTCTAATTCGGAGTTGAAGCGTCTGCTACTTAAAAATCAAGACGTATTGGCGCACGCGCATCGCGCGCGCGTCTCAAGCTCAACGCTCGAGAAAACTTGTCTCTCTCTCTCTCTCTCTCTCTCTCCCCCTCCCTTCTCCCGATTTCTCTCACTCTTCCTCTCTCGCGAGGGAGATCGATTCGTGCGGTCTCGCTGGTAGCTTCCGATCCCGGCGTCGATCTGATCGGCTGCCATTTAATCTCAGCACGCCGCAATTGTCAGGTCCGTTGCTCGTCGTTGCTGTGCATACACACTCGGCGTACCGACTCTCTCTCTCTCTCCCCCTTTCCCTCTCTCTCTCTCTCTCTCTCTCTCTCTCGTTCTGTCTCTCAATATGCTACTATCACGGTCGATTATTACGCTCCTAGAGGAAGCAGCGTCCGAGGGCGGTGCGCGCTCTCCTCTCTCTCTCTCTCTCTCTCTCTTTCTCGTTCTCTCTCTGTGGGGTAACACACCGGCACCTTCCTTCGCGAACAACAATAGGACCTATATTGAATAAACCCACGTCCACGTAGGTCGGCCTGAGCGGTCGGGCCGTGTTGCGTTATTCTGTTAACCGGCGCGCGATGGAGGGACTCTGGGCGAGGTTCAGGCCGCCGCTGGTATTGCTGGCACTGACAGCGCAGAGGCCTGGTGGTAGAGGTGGCACGGTACCAACGCGACTATGCGGCGGCCCTACCTGCGCGCCGGTGCCTGTGTACGTGCGGCTCTTGGTGCCGGTGGACCTCTTACACTCCACTCAGTTCGAGCCGAGCGTCAGTAAGTTCGCGTCCGCCGATCCGATCGGATCCTCTCTCTCTCCCAAGGGTGCGGAGGCACGTCCCGCCGTATAGGCCAGAGCTACGCAGAAATCGCACGCACCACTCTCTTTCGGGTAAAGCGTTCTCAGACCGTTCTCTCTCTCTCTCTCTCTCTCTTTCTCTCTCTCTCTCTCTCTCTCTCTCTCTCCTGCTCTTTTATCGGGCAGAAATTCAACCGACGACGCGTTGAATCGTCGAACGAACACGCTGGAAGATCACGGAATTTCGACGTCGTCGGATAGTTCATGTCGCCGACGTGGCCTTGAGACGCGTTTCCGTTTCATGGCTCGCGCAGGATATCTTTGCGACCATTTCGCCGCATTAACACGCTCCGTGCCGGGTCGATTTCGCGCGACTAGTCCTCCCTATCCCATGTTTGCGCGTCGCGATTTATTTACGTCGAGCAACACGTGTCTTATGATAATTCTCAAAGTATTTCACGCCACTGTTTCGCTTCAGAGGCGAGATACTGCCAACTGCCGGCTCAGCTCGAGCGATTGTGACTGATGCGACACGGAACGTGCTGAAGTGTGCTGAAGCGCGTCCACGAGGAACGCGCGTCCGAAGGAGCCTCGGGTAGAAATGTACGCACTGCGTTCAGGCCACGGGATTCTGCTGTGCCTCTTTGTCTCATGAAAAATCGGCGCGACCTCTCTCGCCGACTTGAATCACGATTCGGTTTCGCGCGCGCTCGCGCTCGCGCGCTGGCGAGCGAACGGCGCCGCGGTGAATCGCGCGCGCGCGGGTGCAACCCGGTCGCGATGGGAGCACCTTCAGTACGTATCCCGATCTATCTGTTTCAGACCACCGCAATACGCCGCGACCTCGGCCGACAAGGTGTCTGAAGAATATCCCCGCGGGACCTCTGCCTCCTTCTCTCGCTCTCGCCCGCGCGCGGGACACGGTGGGTCCTGTTCGAGGCTACCAGGATGCAGCTCAGACCCAGTTATCAAGGCGTCTGAAGGCACCCCGCGGCCGCTGCACGCCGGTATAGAGCAATAAAAGCGCCCGCCACGAGAGATGTATCTCGCGAGGGCCGCGTAAGAAAACGGCGAAAGAAAGGCTGCACCGGTAAATCATAAACGCCACGGGGATCGAACCGCGGGAGATAACTGCCTTCGCGTAAGGTGAGACAGACAGAGAGCGAGAGAGAGAGAGAGAGAGGGAGGGAGAGAGAGAGAGAGAGAGAGAGAGAGAGAGAGAGAGAGAGAGAGAGAGAGAGAGCGCCAATAGAGCGAGGAGCGGCAGCGGGTTCAGCCGTGCGGGATCCATCGTTCGATCGCATCCATCGGATCGTCCATCCATCCTCGGCGGACGCCTGGCGAACGAAAGCTCGAAAACGAAACGCAGCCCGGAAGAGGAGCAGCTTCGTCGTTCATCATTGGGAAACAGGACATCCGGAAGATATCTCGTTGGCCGCGTGCTGAGAAGCCGTCTTCATCCGTTCGCTTCTTCTTCTGCTCGCCGGCGCGTTCGCCCCATCAGAGAGGATATCGTCGATGGATACTGATAGTTTCCCCGTAAGAAGATAGACGCGCTAGTTCTCCGCTCCTTGCCCCTCGCTCACCGGTGGTCATCATCACGAATACCGGCCGATAGATAGTAATAGTTTCGCCCATAACAAGAGGAAGAAGAGGAGATGCGTCGGTCGGCCGCGCTCAGCGGTGTTTACCGTCGAGGATACTATCGATAGATCGTGATAGTTTTCGCGCTACCGCCCCGACCGCTGGAGAAAGAGAAGCAGAAGGAGGAGGAGGAGGAGGAGGAGGAGACGGAGGAGGAATAAGAGAGGAGATCCAGGCGTGTGAAAAGTGTAACGCGAAAAGTGGCAAAGCCGCGAGCGGATCGACGCCGATCACCTCGATAGTGTCGGCGACTCGGAACGACGATCGACCGGTTCGTTTGACAAGGATCATCGACGGTGTTTCGTGATTCCTGATCCTCACTGCGCGCCGTTGCCCCGGGCAACAGCTTAGTGGCTAGTGAACGGAGTTTCACGTATTGTTTAACACCGTGATCAACGAACCGGTCTTAACGTCCGATTCGAATCGATTTGCGCGGATATTTCACGGCGTTTGACAAAGAAAATCGGCCGTTCCTCGAGGGGCAGCGAGAACGAGCCGGTTGCTTAACCCCTCTCGTGTGTTTTAGCCGACCTTTCCCTCTCGTTCTCGATAGCGCACTTATCATCGGCTCACAGGAGGGGGCAGGGGGGACCTGTGCGGCGCTTTGTGCGGAGATAACGCGAGAGAGTAGAGGCCTCACCTCGGCCTCGGCGAAGGATTAATGTCGCTATCGTCGGCCGCGAGACGACGAGAGAGTGACGGCCGGCACGACGCGACGGAATGACATAATTGAAGAAAGCGGCCGCGTCCGAGCCCGTTATTAACTGGTAATGAGCGGGTGTCGAGAGAGGAGTAAAAATGCCCTCGAAAGCAAGCGTCGGGCTCGCCTCGCCGCCATGAAGATTAAATGACGCTACGCCCTCGAGCTTCTCGGCGTCGCCTTGAAGAACAAGAGGAAGACTGTCGTCGCTCTTGAGTCGGTCTTGGTCCTCTTGGACTTTGACACCTCGCGTTGACCTTTGCGCTGTATTATCATCGGTCTCCTTCGTATCGTACGCGCGTGTGCGCGAGCGCACGCGATGATTCGCACGATGATGCGGCTGCCATTCGCGAAGTGACGGCTAGTCGGGGGAGTTAATAAAAGTGAAGTCATGTCGTCGAACGGCGAGTTCTCGACGATGTCCAGCGAGGAGGTGCCTTCGCTGCCGAAATCCCTGCCGAGCTCGAGGGAGGCGACCGCCGAGGGTGGTTCCGGCTCGAGTGGCGGATACATGCCGCTCCGCGAGTTCCTTGATCGATTCTCGTTGCCGAGGGTGGTGAGGCTCGAGGGTACCGGCGGCAGACCGGTGCTGCTGTACAAGCAGCAGCAGAGATCGCTGAGAGTCACCGCGAGCCTGCTGATACACCGATACCGGCATGACGTCAAGGTGGGACCAGAGATCGTCATCCCGGAGGGTTACCCAGGTGAGTGACATTCGCACGATCGACATGTAAATCCCCAATGGCGTATGATGCGTGACGAGTACGATCGCGCGCCTTGATTGCGCGTCCAGGAAATTGACAGGACAGGTCAACCTGCTGCGCCGGAAAGCGAAGCGCGATCGCCGGGACTCTTGATCCGCGGTGTCTGCCTCTTCACTTTATAAGCGGCCGCGGCGTTCCCAGTGAAACCAGAGACAGCTCGGGTAAAGACAGAAAATAAAGAAGAGAAGGACTCGTCGCATCCGTGCGTTCGCGGCGCTAATCGGCGGCGGCGAAAATAAAGTCAAACGGAGAATCGTGTATCCGAGCGACAGCCGAGTTTGAGGGACGTCGTGTAATCTCCAGACGTCTTTCGCGGACGTCTCACGGTCTTTAAATGTTATTCGAGCTGTTATTGAGCTACGCGATGCAACGTCTCTTTTAATGGCCCCAGTCCGCGACAGACGACAGCGCGGAGCACGTAAATTATGCTCGGCAGAGCGAACGGTAACGGTTGTGGAGATCATCCGGCTGGAATCATCAGAACAGGTTATAGACTACTATCGAGATCGCGCGCGAGTCTTCGGACTCGCGTGGACGCGAGAGAGGAGAGGCTTCGACAAAAATGATAATACCCTAGCCCGAGAAAGGGAGACAGAGACGGAGATAGCGAGAGAGAGAGAGAGAGAGAGGGGGGGGAGAGAGAGAGAGAGAGAGAGAGAGAGAAGGAGAAGGAGTGTTGGAGAGAGGGGGGAGGAAGCGAGAGAGCCCCTCGGTCATACGATTAACGTCCCGTGTCGTTCTTTTTCGTTTCAATCGTAAACCACTTTGTGGCGAAGTAAGTCGCGAAACTCGCCGCGCTCGACGGAGGCCGCCGCCCCTGCGCGCGCCATCTCGCGCGGCTTATATTGGTTTTCTGACATCAGAAATGGAAATTACGAGGCAATAAAGCGCGATAATGCGGACCTATTAGATCGAATGGGCGAGAGTAAAGTAGGGAATGTTTAGGCTCGGGGTGGCCCCCTCTGCGGCCCCCCGAAGAAGAGAACCGCCAGCCGTCTAACGACGCCCGGTTCTTTCGCGTGCGCTTGCGCGCGAGAGGCCGTTCAATATATCGGCTTCTCTCCTGCTCTCTTCTCCTCGTCTGTCTCACCTGCCTCTCTCTCTCTCTCTCTCTCTCTCCTCTCTCTCTCTCTCTCTCTCTGCCTCTCCTCTCTTTCTCTCTCTTTCTCCATCTGTCTATTTACGCTTAGGTTCTTTCTCTCTCTCTCTCTCTCTCTCTCTATCCCGCTTGGCTCGTCTTCCTCTCTTCTTCATCTTCGTCCACATCTCTCTCTCTCTCTCTCTCTCTCTCCTTCGTCTCAGTCTCGAGGCGTGCAATTGGCGTTACACGCGCGCGACGGTGTCGCGCCAAACTGCCGCTAACTGCCTCTAATAAACGCACTTCGTATTTTAATGAAAATGTCGTTAGTGAGAGACGATGTACGTGGCTGTTATGAGTCAGACGCGTTAAGTGGCTGACTGCGAGAGAGCGACCGGATCGAGACGGCGGCGGTGGCGGCGACGACGACGACGGCTGAACGCGCGGCGCGTACGCGCGGTCCTTCGCGCCTCAATGGATCGCGGCGATTACGTCGCGTGCCGCGATTGCGGAACCTCTGACGAATCCGCGCGAGGTCCGGGACAGGTCCGGCGAATTGACATCAGGATCATTGAATTTTTCGTCACCCGTCCCGTCGCGCTCGCGCGGTCATTTCGCCGATTCATGCGAGAAAAACGTCGCGCCCGCGAAAGCGAGATTAGCTGTTACGCTCAAAGCGCACGCCGATGATTCACGATTCGGGCGAGAGGTCGGGCAGTTGGGGCAATCAATCTCTGGTCTTCGTTAAATCCCACGTCAACCTTGAAACGTGCTCGGGAGATGACTGGCGATCCGCGATTTTCGTTCCGCATGAGACGTTTCGTCCGAGAAAGAAAGAAAGAAAGAAAGAAAGAAAGAAAGAAAGGACGAAATCCAAATAAAACGAAGCTGATCGGCTCGGAGGACTTGACTCTGATCGCGTGGGGCGTCACGCGAGTGGGAGGACGAGTCAGATAAAGAAAGAGCATCTCTTATCGCGCTCGCTTCTCGAGATGGATCCCGGACAGATCGGCGCGCGCTTCTCACGAAGAAAACGGGAAAATCTCGCGAACGGCACGGAGTCCGCGCGAACGTGAGCGCGCGAGTACGAGGCTCCGCGTCGTAAATCGACGCCCCGGACGGCCGGATCGAGCGGATCGCTGCGCGAGCGGAGTACTAACAGTAAATTGAGCGGGCGAATGTTACCTCACGCCCACGAATTCGCCACGAGTGCCGCGTAACGTAACTCACGCGGAATAGAGCGCGACCGCGCGGGCGATGGTCTCCCGCGAGAGAGGAGCCGGAGGAAGAGAGAGAGAGAGAGAGAGAGAGAGAGAGAGAGAAAGAGAAAGAGAGCGGAAAGAAAAAACCACGGTTCTCTCTATTGCCATTGTAACGACGGCGGCGGCGACGGCGGCGGCGGCGACGACGGCGGCGGCGGTGGCGGCGGCGGCGGCGGCGCAACGAATTGGTTCCGCGTTAAACGCTCGGGCGCTTCGAGACGGCGACCCGTTCTTCTCCACGGCGGCGATAAAGAAGCGTCCGTGGACGTTTACTATCTTGAGCGCTGGCGCAAAAAGTAATAGACGCGCGTGCTGATCAAATAGCGGGCCGTGCGGAGCGAATGAGAGAAGTCACGCGGCGTTATCGCCCTTGCGCTCTCTTCCACGGCGAATTCGCGACGGCTGGGTAACGCGTCGCGTAAGGACGCGCCTTCGGCTGCGGGGAGCGGACTATTTTGCCGGGCGAAAACCACGGGCGATCGTCGCTTTTCCTTCCTCATGGCGGCCTTGTCGCGTTTTATGCGTGTGCGGTCGAATCGGGAACGAGCAGGAGGATTTTTGCGAGCGGCTTCTCGACGAGAAACTCGCGGCGGAATTCTCAGGTGTGCCGCCGTGTATCGTTTCGAGTTCCGCGCGACGCGGCGTCGATGAATTTTCCTGTCGTTCCGAACGAACGAGGAGAGAGACATCATGTCGGTAGCACTCTTCTCTCTCTCTCTCTCACTCTCTCTCTCTCTCACTCTCTCACTCTCTCACTCTCTCACTCTCTCTCTCTCTCTCTCTCTCTCTCTCTCTCTCTCTCTCTCTCTCTCTCTCTCTCTCTCTCCGTTCGCTTCCGACGGCTGCTTTTCCCTCTGCGTCATCGTGGAATTTCGAACGGCGCGACTCACCTCGCCTCGCAGCACGATTCCGTGCAGGCACTTTCGTCATCCGCGACTGATCCCATTTGTCCGGCGAGGCGCACGTGCGCGAAATGCGCGATCGCCCGGCTGCCGCGCCGAGGAGACGACGCCGATCCAATCGGCCGGCCGAACTCCGATCGGGCAGCGAAGGACAGAAAGAGAGTGCAGCGAAGTGAAGAGAAGGAGAGATTCCCCCTTGCGAGAGCTGTCTGTCGATCCGCGGACTATTGCGCGAAACCGCAACGTAATTTCGTTCACGGTGTGATGTAACGCGCGGCGTTGCTCGATTTCCGCCTATCGAGCGCGCGGACGTTGGGAAAACGAGATCCGCCACATGACTGAGGGAGCTCGCGCTGGAATTTCAACGTGGGCTTCTTTCCCTTTTCTAATGCGACACACTACACCGCAGCAGCGTTGCAAAATCGTGACAAAATAATCTCGACGGCGCGCGCGATTGCTTTTCATCCGGTCATTCAGGTTGAGTCGCGAGGGTGATTCGCAGCCTTAGGGATTAGCGGGCCTCGCTATTCACCGCGGACATTTTTCCATCGCCGTGTTGATTTACCGATTACTCGAAACGTCTCGTCTGCAAGAACACATGCAAAGAGCGTTGCACCGCCGCGCGGCCCGCCGGCGATTCCGAGCGAGCGACTCGTCTCTCGCGGTGAGTTCGCGGACGGACAAGTGTTAACTCTCAATATATGCCGGACAGTCGGTATCAAGCTGATTAAGCACACATCGCGAGCCTACCCGCGCGCCTCCATCGCATCGCTCGCAATTTTCTCGCGGCGGAGATGCCGGGGCAAAAAAGGCTCCGCCACGGCCTGGAGCCTTTCGTTGAGGGAGAAACCATAAGTTGCAGCCAGTTATATCGCGGGTATGCATTCGTAGTCGCTATACATCATCGTAATCAGCTTACCCGCTGCCGCGAGTAAAAAGTGCGCCAAGAGCACGGCATCGGCCGTGCATTTTTCCCCGCGTGCAGCGCAACGCACAACAGCAATCCAGCGCAGCGCGCCGCGTCCCGAGGGGTCGCGCGATGACCGCGGGGGACGAAATGAAGACATTCGCGCGCGCGCGGTGGATAAGAAGCGCGTCACGGAGTCGCGTGTAATGCGTGTCTCGGATCAAAGTGCGTAAAGTACGGCCGCGAGATAATGTCCTGAGAAATATACCCTCCGCTTCATTTCGCCGTCGAACGCCTCTCCGCGAGGTCACGCTTGTCCCTGAAATCCGGTATATTAATTCAAGCCGCGCGGTACCCTTTTCCTTTCTGCCTCTTTTCCTCTCTCTCTCTCTCTCTCTCTCTCTCTCTCTCTCTCTCTCTCTCTCTCTCTCTTTCTCTCTCGCTCTCCTTGCGCCGATGAAATGTATTTTTTGAGTAATTTTAGTAACGTCGAATTTATTCGTAAAAAAATATATTGAGGCAACATATACGACGATGACATATATACGCGAATCTCGACGAAGACATTGTTATTCTCTCTTCTGCTCGAGTCGCGAGTCTCTTCGGCTCCGATCTCGCGCAACAAAGAAGACGCGGGAGACGATGCCACTGGGAGCGCGCTCAGGGCGGCGCGGCGGATCGTCCGGCGAAACGGAATCTCTCGTCGGAGGCGCGCAACTTGAACCTTCAACCGGGATAAAATTACTAGGGGAAGATTCAGGCGCGCGCATCCGATTCCAAGGACTGATAGG